TGTGGGCGTTGTTACCTCGCCCAGGCCGCATTCTCACCCGATTTCGATGCAGTTTTCACCACAAGTTTGCAAATGGCTGCCTTAAGGACATGACGCAGCCCGATTTTTCAGTTCAGCCTCATGTTCCGAAAAAATCGATAATCGAAAAAATCTGCTTACAGAAGGAATTATTGCATTTCAACCAGATTTGACACCCTCTTAGAGTTTACCTTTAGAAGTGTTGTCCAGAAGTTTCATGACCACGGACCCCTAAACAGCGCGGAAAATCGATAAAACCCAAAAGCCGATACGCCCAGATTGCACCTGAACCGCATGTCGGTTTTTAGCGAAAACCGATCGGATTTATGAGGAGGCCATTGGAAGTCACCATGTGAAGTTTCAACTCTGAGCCGCTCCCCAAACACAGTGCAAATAGACAATCGGTCAACCCTTAAAAATGTTTTTCCGGTTGGGTATTTCGTAAATGCAGATTAATTTAAGGTCACGCTCTGCGCGGGAAGAAACAGGTTGGTGCGTGCAGTGCTGTATGAGTCGTACGATTTTTGAATCAAGCACGGGCAACGCCGGGCCATGCTTCTAGTAAATTATATAGCGCAGTTTGGAGTTTCATGCACAACGCAATTTTCATGTGCTGAGTATAAACTGGCCATTACGTTGCCGTGTCAACCGGATGTTGCCGTCTCAAAGTCAGCAGTCGAATAGCCAATATCAGACATTTGTGCACAGGCAGCGTTTTAAAATATTCGAGAATAAAATTCTTATTATTATTTGACCACTGAGAGCGCTTTCAACGCATTTTTGATATGCTGCATTTTGAGCCAACACCTGCAATCTATAAATACCAAAGATAAAAAAGGAACAAGTGAGAGAAGAGAATTCCGTGCTGCGAATTCAAACATGGATCACTCATCAACTGAATCGACATTTCCCGCTTTGCTGACGTAGATTCTCCAACAAACTTAAGTAAGTACTTTTCACTTTTCAAGTTTTTTTTTATGCACGCCTCAATGTGTGTAAGGCACATTTCCTTTACTTTCAAAGGGGATTCTTAGAAACATCTCAATGTGTGTAAGGTATATTTCCTTTCTTTTCAAGAGTTTTATTAAACACAGATCAATGTGTGTAAGGCACATTTCCTTTATTTTCAAAGGGGATTCTTAGAAACACCTCAACGTGTGTAAGGTATATTTTCTTTCTTTTCAGGAGGTTTATTAAACACAGATCAATGTGTGTAAGGAACATTTCCTTTATTTCCAAAGGGGATTCTTAGAAACAACTTAATGTGTGTAAGGTACATTTCCTTTCTTTTCAAGGGGTTTATTAAACACACCTGAATGGGTGTAAGCGACATTTCCTTTCTTTTCAAAGGTGTTTATTAAACACACCTCAATGTGTGTTAGGTACATTTCATTTCTTTGTAAGGGTTTTAAATAGAGTTCCAATAACTTGGATCGATTTTAAATGTGAATTAAGTTATATGTCTAATGATTTTTTTCATTTTCTTTCAGATTTAAGAACTTAAGTCCTTGGCAATTTCAACCATGGAAAGATTAACAATGAAACAGCATGTTAAAGTTATCGTAGCCTATTACAAAATCGAACTTTCAAATTTTGAATGAGAAGTTCACAGATCGCATCATCTCTCGAAACAGCGAAGTCAGTTTGCCACCACGATCGTGCGAATTGACGCCTTTAGATTTCTTCCTTTTGGGGTCATCTCAAAAGTAAGGTCTATGCCAACAAGACATCAACAGTTAAACACCTGATGGATAAGATAATAAGTCATATTGGTGAAAACGAGGTGCAACTATGTAGAGGAATGTTTTAACCATCGAGTGGAGGTGTGACGCCAAAGCCTTGGCATACATTTGGGCGATATTATTTGTCACACATAATTTCCATGACTTAAAGAACATGATCCAATAGAGAAATAAATAAATTTTCACCAATAACACTGAAGTATTTACTGCTGATTTTGATCCTTCTTAATGAAAAACTCTTTATTAAACATACCACACGGTGTCCAAAATATCAAATAGATGGTTATTTTTTATTAAAAAAATATATATTTATTTCATTCAAAAATTCACTGGTTCAGTTTTAATGTATTGCATAACCATTACGGCGTTGTTTTTTTTTTGTTTTTTTTCGAAGTACGTAGTTTCAAGATTCTCTTCCTCCGTACAGCACCCGGAGTGGAGTTAAAATTCTGATTAGTTTGTGGGCTATTTTATGTGGAGCGCTGCTTATCCCTCATATGATATGACTCATTGGTATGTTCGGTTTATGTGTTTTTGGTAATCCGTATAATATGGGCGTTTGTGAATGGTATTCAATAACCTTTATCCAGCATCACCTATTACAGTTTTCCTATTGTCATTTATATTATATATATATATATATATATATATATATATATATATATATATATATATATAAAAGTGATCATAGAAGTCAACACTTAGAGGCGAGAGTCTGTTTCATGCTATATGCATATAGCATGAAAAAGACTGTCACCTTTAATGTTGACTTCTATGATCACTTTTTATTTTACACACGCTCTATCTCTGATATTGATCATTTTATCCCATAAACATAGCACATCTTAAAACTATATTTCTTCATATATATATATATATATATATATATATATATATATATATCTGAAGACATGGTTTATAGATGGAATAAAATTCAGATAACCAAAACCACTATTACTACTTTTGAAAAACTGGCCAATACAAAATAGAGCAAATAATATTTATTCAAAAATTATAACATCAGCATGTTTTAATATCACTACAAAATTGCCATCACTTGACAAGACACTAGAAGTGTTGAAACAAAACGGCTATTTTTTTAATGATGTTATAAAATGCTTATGTTATAATTTTGAATAAATATTATATATATATATATATATATATATATATATATATATATATATATATATATATATATATATATATATATATATATATATATATATAATTTTATTTATTTTAGGATATTAAAACAAAAAACAATTCGCTACACAGTTACAATTATGTTTCAAAACTACAAATGTTTCCTCTGGCGATATTAAACTACTGACGATTGAACGATTAATTTAATTTCAAAACAGAATACTTTCTTATTTTTCGAGAAATACAAAAGCCGGAATAAAATTGGCTTGTGGAATTTAACGTGATTAACGAATCGAATATGATGTATACTAAATTCAAACACATCGAAAATTTTTAATATAATGTATCCAATATATATATAAATTAATCCTCTAAAATTCACGGATCAATTTCTTAGTGCTGTTAAAAAATGAGTAAGAAAGCTGCCGTAGTTTGGGTTATTTCTTTTATTTTCCCAAGTTCCTTCAATCACATCAAACAATATCTTGAGGGGCGAATTACTGAAGATGAACTTGGATGAGATTTAAAGTACTTTGGTAAATAAGAGAAATAACCAAATCTATTGCGTCTTTCTTACTCAGTTTTTTAATAGCACCAAGAAACTGATCCGCGAATTGGAGAGGATTAAATTAAACATATAATATGTCTAGATTATTCAACCAAACATGGCTGATTGGAGATATGCTGTGCCTATGTATATATATTGCCAAACGTACTTAGGAAAGACATTTTTTATTGTTTTCTCCCATAGTTTGTAAGTCGTTTTCTTTCGCTTTTGCTGAAAAAGTCAGTTTAATCAACTATTTAACCATGGCTTGGAGGAGAATTTCATGGTTTTCTCAAAGTCACTAATACTAAAGTTAACCAGCCGGTAAATTGAATTCGGTTCACCGAATCGACTGTCATCGCAGATATAGAAAAATTGGGTATAATCCGTGCTTGAATATGCTTATTTGATGTTCAATATTAATATTACCAAAAATAAATAAATAAATAAATGTAAGAAAAATAAGACATGAGAAGCTAGTTTGATAGTAAATGCTGCAGTAGTAACTACAGTAAGAAAGAAAAATATAGACGACATACGAAGGAGAAAAAGCCAAGAGGTCAGTAGTTACAACAAGCAATAAATTTTCCAGTTCTAGATTCAAAATAACTAAAAGCTAATAAAAGGAGAACGAGATATGACTAGGAAAGGACAATGGAACGGAAACAATTTACCATTGTAGATTAAAGAAGGGGTTCAGTCTGAATTTACTAGATAGTCTCCAGGATGGGCATATACGAAGAAGGCCGGATGGCACAACGGTTGAAACATTGCAATAACGAAGATGAAGAGATTAGTAGGACTGTAAATAATAAGAAGAAATAATTAAAAAAAAAATGGCACAAAAGCAAAAGAGATAAAAATAATGTGAAGAAAAATAAGGACAGAATGAGAGAAATTCGTTTTTACGGCTTATCAACCCTATGCGAGTTATTTAAAATCAGAAATTATGTTTACACGGCAAGAATTTTTTTAAGAGATGATTATAATTTAGTGACGTATGTCTTACTAATTAACCCATAGTTGGAGGGAGAAGAGGCGGATTCATACCTTTCCCTGGGGTATTTTTGCCTAAGTAACTATAACGAACTCAACTGAAATTGGAACTCAAAACGCCAATTAAAATTCCAGTCCATTATCCATTACGCCACCCGAGCACCTTGTTGTGGTGTAATGTTTAGCAAGTTTGTCTCCTTCACGAAGTTTCGGCCGTTGTACACTCCGGTCTTCTTCAGGTGATTGGAATGGCCCAGTGGATAAAAGCGTTGGTCGGATACAGTGACTTGACCCAAAGAGGTCATTACCTGGTTACGGCAGTGGTGAACAAAAACTGAGACATCCAGAAGAGGCATGGCACGTGGAACTAGAAAAAATCTACCCCGTTGGACGAGATAAAGGGTTCAGTTCGAAATTCCAACTTTGTCTCATTTGAACAATTACGCCTGTATTGCGTTCTACCCGCACTGGCTACCCCATAATTTGGCCTTGTGCCACATCTAAACTACGCTTAGAAAATCACTATTACACAACCTGAAAATCCTAGCTCACAAACCCTGGTATTCTCAAGCGGTCGCCTATCTAGATACTGACCAGGCTTGACGTTGTTTAACTTCGGTGATCAGACGAGAACCCGTGTTTCAACCTGATATAGCCGTAAGCGTTTTGTTCAGTGTAGGTTAAGGTTATCTCAGTCTACGCTACTGTTTAAGCCTCAAGAGGATTAAAGGTAGATTCAAGCTTTTCCCACTGGCATTAATTCAAATATGAATGTAACTGAATAGACATAAAATGAAACTCCACGCCGATATTGGCTGTCTGTCCGAGCCTAATATTTTAGCTTGAACTCATAAATACCTGATTTCATTGGAGGAAACAATGCCCAGCATCGATTTCTTTAATTACAAAATCAGACATTAATATTTTTTATAAAAATCAGATGAACGAAAATTATAAACATGATGAATGCAGAATTAAGAACATCATAAAAAAATGCATAACACGAGTTGACAATAGCAAAAAATTAGATTAATTATTTATTACAAAATATTTAAAACCTCTAACCTTATAGTTAAAAATAACAATTCACCTCCTAGAACAAAATTGGGCAAATATTATTTACGAATTTAAATGCCCATTAAGGAATTGTATTCCTGATCAATCAAAATTCGTAAATAATTATATAGGCCACACTACAAAATGTTTGACACGCAGACTCACTCTACACCTTTCTGACTAATTAGATCTCATTTAAATATTCATGGAGACCTACCGGACACTTTTCGTAACATACTTGTTGACAACATCAATATAATAGCATCATCTACATGCAAAAAATGGCTAAAAATAATGGAAGCCTTATTAATAAAAAGAAAAAAAAAAACACGTAATAATATTAACTTTGAACATCGACATAAAATCTTGACCGTGTTTTGAAATATGAAAACATTTTATAAAACATACATACAACAAACTATTTCTTATTTTACAGTTAAAATATAATCGTTGAAAATGCCTATAAATGTATAGCCGAAAGCGCTCCGATAAAAAGAACATTCAGACAGTTTTTATATAATTTATCATCCGAAATGAAAAAATGATTAGATCGCATGAGAAATTGTTTAAAAAACTAAATAAAAGCAAATTGTCTGTCGATTTCAATGAAATGTGTATGAAAGAAGGATTGCTGCCTAAACACACAAATTATATATATATATATATATATATATATATATATATATATATATATATATATATATATATATGCCTTGGGTTCATTAAAACGACGTCTTCGCTCTCATTGTGTTTCTCCTGTTTCGTACTTACATGCTAGATTCTGCTCGTGTTTATGTCTTTGAAACATAGCGCTTCTGTTTCAAAATACAAGGGTAATGTCCCTTTATAATGTACTTTTTATCATGATTTTATAATAAAATTTATAGCCTTATTATCTGCTCTATCATTGTTATTTTCTTTATATGTATCTTTTTTATTTAATACTATTGATTATCATTACTCGTACGTCTAATAGGTGGCTCTTTTAACGGACTGGAGCTGTCGTAAAAGTTTAAGGTCATAAATGCTTCTTTGATGCCGTAAATGTTTAAAATTTTGATTTACGGCCAAATGAAGTGAACTTCACGTCACATGATCGTCTTACAAAAACCGCCATGATTTAATGCTTTCGATTTTATTTTTGGACTTTTATTAAATTCAATCTCGGCTAGATTTTAACCCATAACAACCCACAACGACTTTGCTACTGCCTATCGACGGAGTCTCTCACGTTTCACAAAATTCATCGAACGCCGATGCAGCAGGCAGCAGGGTTATAGTAGACGCAGATAAATAGATGGTTACCTCTCCGTTGTCATTTGCTTTCGTTGTTTCGCATTCCTATCCTATGAACCATGTATAAGTCGACGACGTACATAAGTCGGTCATGCTGATATCTTTATCCAACATAAAGAATAAAAATTATTCTCCGACCACCTAAAAACTGGAAACCGCTCTGACAGAAACATCATCATTATCATCATCACGATCATTCATTTAGTTAGTGCATTTGGCGAAGCAGTGGCCACCATTTCCCTCTGTTATAATTGTGGTTCATGGTGACGTTCAAGGTAAAATAGTGCAACGGCTTGCCAGTTGCATTTGAGTCGGGTATGATGACATTATCCCGTTCCTCCTCTCAGAAGTTTCGCTTCCCACTGGTAAAGCCGTTGACCTCTGAATCGGATCTCTCACGCCCAGGCTGGGGACTGGGCGATTGCCGCTTGGTTTAAACATTGTTATGAGATATCCGTTTTCTTTTTGCTCTAGAAGTTAGGGTAAGTATAAGTATCGTATTAATGGTCGCGCTAAAAGAAGCCTTGCGCAGTGTTGAAACAACCAAAGAAAAGTTGGATAGGTGTTCGCTTTCACAGGTCGGCTAAGGAAACCCTTCCGGCTATCCTCACAATTTTGCCGAGAGGTCGATGACGCTGATTGAAGTGTGGCCGACGCAGTGATATGCAACTGATTCGAGCCATGTGTGGAGTTGGATGTAGGCCGGGCACCTGTGCAGTTCCGTATCCCAAATTAGCTCAGTAAAGTAGGGCCTACCGCTTCGCTGCAAAGGTATTACTACTGAAAATACATCAACTACACCCTTGAGACTGAAATAAAGATTCCGAAGGCCAAGTTTCTTTTTGTGCCATGCAGAAAAATTGAATTCTTCGCTCTAATACTACTGATAATATGCAAGATTTCAATGCGTACAGATCTTTCTGTACGCATTGAAAGCAACAGCTTAGGAAGCAGCAGCTTAGTCTATAGCTTAATACAGATTTTCATGTTATATCAGATGGTTCTTCTTTGTGCCGTCGCTGCAATTGTTTGTGTAATTCTTTAAAATTATATATATATATATATATATATATATATATATATATATATATATATATATATATTTTTTTTCTCTCTCACATCTTCTGATTTTTAAGTTTAGATCATATCGTCTTTTTACTGTGCGTAGTGTCACCATAAATGTAAAAAAACTCATTTCCCGTGTCGATTTTAAATTTAATTTAGGTCAGCGATTCAGTAATGAATAATGCATCGGAAAATAATTCATATTTATCTGTATCTCACTCATTTAAACTGTCTTTTAACCCCGTTCCTTAAAAAATCTCTCTAATTTTAATCCCCAACTTCACCTTTAGGCTTTCCTGTACTTTGTTTAATTAATTGCCGATGGTAATTCAGTCATTATCACGATTGAGAAAAGTTTCTGTTGTTTATTTTTATATATATATATATATATATATATATATAAAAGGCTCAATCACTAATATTCCAGATGATGGCTTAATACAGATTTTCATGTTCTACCAGATGGTTCTTATTTGTGCCACCACTGCAACTGTTTGTTTAATTCTCTCTCTCTCTCTCTCTCTCTCTCTCTCTCTATATATATATATATATATATATATATATATATATATATATGTGTGTGTGTGTGTGTGTGTGTGTGTGTGTGTGTGTGTGTGTGTGTGTGTGTGTGTGCAAATGTGTAGAAAATAAGAAATAACACGTTAGGTAAATAATCCGATGTTCTTTAGCATTTTTGTTTTTATTTAAAAAAACAAACTAGTGCTCCATAAAAAGTAGAACTTAAATTATAATTGAAGGTTTAAAAAATTAAACCAATCATAAGATAGAAAATAACCCTTTATGAAGTCGTCAAAAAAGAAAATGTAGTTAAGTGCGTCGCTTTTATGTACAAAACAGCCTTTTAGAAAATAAAATAAAATTCTTTAGACACTTAACGACGTATTATGGTGCCAACAGCTATCTGTCGCTGTGACTGACTAGACGGTGTGTACATGAATGCCATCATTCGCTTTGAAATAGACACCACAGCCCCCTTTCTTTCTCTTAACCTCTTTCGGAAGGTGACTGATATGTGGATACAAATTAACTCTTATGCCCCTTATCAAAATTGTCGCTCTAGCCGTTTCCATAGTAATTAATTTTACGAATGAACCTGCTTATAAAGATGCGTAAATGTCAAGATTGGTGATTCCTAAATTTTCACTTGAGGATGAAACAGGACTTGATACTTGAAATTTAATTTCAATACTTATATTGAGGTTTTTGGCTCTTGTTTTTGAAACATGAGAACTCTTATGTAGCAAAGGAATCATATTTTTTTAAAAAATAAAAATAATTATATATATATATATATATATATATATATATATATATATATATATATATATATATATATATTCTGGAGCCATCATCACAGATAACCGAACCAAGATATTTAAATATATTAGGTATCTCCTATATAGACTATGGAATTTAACAAATTCCTTGTTTGTGTGTTACAGGCTGCGATGAGTAAATTATCGCCATTTATATTTTCATTTCGCGCATGCGCGTTCTTTGTTTTTGATTCTATCCACTGCACAGTATAATAGCGTCAGTGGGGCACCGACTAAGAGAAAACAAATTACCATTACACAATTCACTCCACCAGAAATTTGGAAACAGCTCCAGTACAAACATTTCAGAATGTTTAGGTGTCAATCTTAAGACAGTACAGAGAATTCTTAAAGAGTTTAATGAGTCTAATAGTGATTATGAAGGTGTTTGTAGTTATCACTAGTGATGACCGCGTTATGCCTCCATTTATCTTGCCAAAGGGTTTCAGACTCAACACTTAGACCAACATCAAGTGTCTTCATGCTGTAGTGCTGCCCTTGTTCAGAAGGGAGGCTGCTGGAAGACCTTATGTCTGGCAACAGGACTTTGCACCATGCCACACACGGAGAACACAGTCATTGCTGTTAGAAAATTTCTCAATATGCTTGGTATCCTTCTGTAGTGAAGCAATAAAAGTGATGGGATAAATTTATGAATATCAAACAGAAGATTTTAGGGTTTCATATTTGTTATCTTAATTTAATTATCAGTTTTTTTTAAAATTGTATTATTTATAAAGTTTATCAGTTAATTTGAATTTTGGCGATATATTGGATCGAATTCGGCACTTCTATTTGAAACTTTTTCACTCAAAAAGACTTTTTTTCTAATAAAATTGGTTTATTTCAGGTGGTTGACATAAATTTCTCGCCCTACCTGAAAATGGATGGGTTTCTACGACCTTTA